TGTAGAATGCATTATTTTGCAGATGTTTTCGCACTTGAGTTTGAATTTGTTTTGTTGGCAGGCATCTTATTTGGTTTGGTAGTTTTTTCATAAATTTTATACCGTAGTAGTTAAACGCATTTCTTGTTCGTGTAAAGCGTAGTTTTGAAAATTTTAGGTCGTGTCTATTTCTAAAGTTGTATTGATCGTCGGTTTTATCACTGTAACTGTTAATGTTAGTTTTTACATATAGCAAGCACTGATCATTGATCAATATATATGCACTCGGTATTGTTAATAATTTCTGCTGAACGAACACTTCTCGTACATCGTCCCTATAATTTAAATTTGTGAGCACCCTCAAAGCCCGTCTTTGCATTTTGAAGATACGCTGCACGTGTGCCGAGTGTCCCCATATTAGTATCGCCACAGCGCCACAGATATATGTATATCTGTGGTATTGCTCTGCAAAGTTCTGATAGTAGTTTTAAAACTTCCCTTTTTTTGACACATAACTATCTTATATCCAAATTTCAACAAAAATAAAACTGTTTAAGAAAATGCGCCACTAGCTCTCCTACTATAACTACTTTACTAAAATAGCTGCATTGTCTTTAGACTACCACTACAACTGAACCGATTGTTAATTAAGTTTGCTGTTTAAGTTCAACTTTGTCATGTGTGCGAAATACTTTTAAAACACACGTGCTTTAAAGGTGCTAAGTAATGATACCTCAAGTATGACTTTTGAAAGTGTCATCTCATCTGGGTGAAATAAAAAATCCTCTTAGGTCGCTTTCTGTAAATGCAGAACATTTCTTTGGCTTGTACCTATCCTTTGGTTGAAGCTTTCACAAACGCGCGTAATTTAGTGTATGCCTCCAAATCTGTTCCACTTTTTAATCGCAGCATTGTTCGAAGTTTTGAATGAATGCACCAAAAGATAAAAGATTTAAACACCTTTGATATTTCCTTTATATATGCCAGCATTATGGATCCATAGGTCAAGCATACAAAATCGAATGCTGGAAGTGACCAGAGTTTCGTGGTATTAAATACACAATAATCTCGATACCACCGGAAGCGATCGTGAGTATAATTTATATGCACAAATGACAAAGGACCCACTTTTCAACAGTCAAGTGAGGCAAGAAACTTCTGGAAACATGTACCTTGAAAAATTGGAATGGTCTTCGTCCCTGACATAACTTCCAATTTGATCTGTGCTTTTATAATATACCATTACTTACTCCATAATATAACACAAACTATGCTTACTCTTTGCCATTACCTTTATAATGCAAAGATTCAAGGAGAGCTATCTGGTATGTGTGTTGCCTACGTACAGCGGTTTATAGTCGAAATTCGTTTCATAATCATAGGTTATATCGTTGATTGATATTAGCATTGAATTATAAATTCAATGATATTAGTATGTACAATACCTATTTTAAGTAACAAGGGATTAAAAAAGTTTTTTTGCACTCCTTCGTTCTAAATCGCGTTTTCCCAATCAAACACGAACGTCGGGAACGTCAATTTTACAATTGACTATCTACTTTCGCGCACTAGTGCCTAAAAATTCAACGAAATTATCTATTTAGTGCGGATCATAAACTAATAAGTAGCATGATGGAAGAGTAAAAAAGAAAATATAAATACACTTTACATCATTCCCTGTAGTACACGGGCAAAAATAAGCTTAAACCAGAAGTTTTTAACAATAAATTGACATTTTAAATTTCTACTTTATCGGCATAGAGGACTTGATTTTTTCAATAGAATTATAATGTCGCAAAAATCTCGCGAAAAGGATTTGAATTTATATAAATTCGATTTAACTAATCCGTGCAAAAAATAGAATACATGTTACGTGCGTGAACAGTATTTGCTTGATTTGCGCGAGATGCGTCGCTCGTGCGCGTTGCGCACTCGCGCCGCCAAACTTCGCGCTCATCTTCAAAATAACTGTCAAAATAACTGTTCCCGCACTAATAATGTAAATAACTATTGTTCCTGAAAGAATGGTTTAAAGCCCGATGCTTGCCGAGGGCTTTAATATTCTTGAGGGAACAAAAAACTAGTTTAATCCAGAATCCGGTGTTACTTATACCATTTTTTCCAATACTCAGAATTCTAAGTTTAAACTCAGAATTCTAAGTTGAAATTCAGAATTCTAACTTTAAACTTAGAATTCTAACTTTAAAAAACTCAGAATTCTGAGTTTAAACTCAGAAGTCTTTCTTTAAACTCAGAATTCTAGCTTTAAACTCAAAATTCTGACTTTAAACTCAGAATTCTAACTTTAAACTCAGAATTCTAGCTTTAAACTCAGAATTCTAGCTTTAAACTCAGAATTCTAACTTTAAACTCAGAATTCTAACTTTAAACTCAAAATTCTGACTTTAAACTCAGAATTCTAAGTTTAAACTCAGAATTCTAACTTTTGATCTCCGAATGTGAGTTTAAACTTTTTTATTTCGGAGGGCAAAGAATTAAAATAATTTGCTACCCGAGTAGAACACGCCTGGTTCATAAAGAGTCAAATTGTGGTGCGTTAGGAGCAGCAGTTCATGGTCACGGACACCACCACGAGTCATGTAAAAATTAGAATTTTGAAAGACAATTTATAGCAGCCTACATAGTTAGTAATTTGTTTTCTTTAAAAATGTCTGCAACTTAGCTGCGTTTTTAAATTACATCTATGATCGGTATTGCTCTTTTTTGGATGACAAAAATCCTAAAAAGCATGTTGGCTGAAGCAGCTCCGCAGAACATGATAACCGTATTTCGTTACGGAATAAAAGTTACCGTAATATACATGCTTAGGAGAATAAGTGCATTGACGTGATACGCAATTCGTAGAATAATATTGATAAGCGTGTACAAAGTTAGTCGCAATGATTGTTCCACTTAAAGTTCTGGTTCTGGTGGACTCCTAACAATTTCATTGTGCCTGATTCTAATAACGTTGTGGTCTGATTTATATTGACGCTTAAATGGGACGACCCATTTATTCTGGACTTGTCAGTTCTAAAGATTATACACGCGGTTTTGTCCTTGTTCACTGAAAGATGGTTAAGATTCGCCCAGGGTAGCACAGTGTTATACACACTACACAGCTTTGGTGTTTTCAACAACCTCGTGCAGGCAGGGGCCACTGAGTAAAAAATTCATATCGCCAGCGTATGAAACGATTGTTGTATTCACTTTTCCAATGTTGTGTACGTGCAGTGGTAAATCGTTGGCAAAGACTAGGAAGAACACAGGGCCCAAAATTGAACCCTGTGGACGCTGACCCCCCGCTAAACGCGAAAAAGAAGGGAGGTCCGGGGGGAGGGGGGGAGAACGTGGACACGTGACCGGAATGCGTTGGCCCCCGCTAGCGAAATTTGGCGCGCTTTCTGCATGGTGGCCTTTTCGAGAAAAACGCGAATTTGGCTCGTTACTTTATTAATGAGCTCCTAGCGAGTTTATAATTTTTTGATGTCTGTCCGTCTGTCCGCCTGTCCGTCCGTTAGCACGATAACTCATAAACGAATGGACCGATTAGGATGAAATTTTGTAGGTGGATTCTTTATCAAATTTGTAGATCGGAGTTCGTGAATTCGTACTGTAGCCCAAAAAATAACGAAGGCCCTTTTGACATCTCCGTGAGTTATGAACCGAATTGCATGAAATTCAATGTGCGTATAGCTTTAGCCATATAAAACGCAATTCCAAAAATTGGGCCTAATCGATCAACATTCACAGTGCCCTTTTCGCATCTCGACCATTTACAAACCGGATTGCAAACTTTCTTATTTATGAAGGTATTTAAATGAAATTTGATGCATGGCCACTTGGAATAAAAGCAAATTTAACACCAGTTTCAAAATTTGGTTTTGCGCATGCGCAGTGCCAACATTCTTATTTATGGAGGCGTTCAAATGAAATTTGAGACATAGCCACTTGGAATAAAAGTAAATCTAGCGCCATTTCCCAAATTTGGTTTTATGCAGGATGCGCAGTGCCAAATTTCAATTAAATGAAATTTCATACATGTACCTACACTTTAAATAAAAGTAAAACTAACATCAGGTTTAAAATTTGGTTTTGCACAGTCATACCCAGGAGCTCGTTTTCTCTATTTCTATAGTTTATTTTAGCCATTTTAGGTGCAAATTACAAATTACTTACAATGGTTGGTTCGCTTTGAATCAAAAGCTCTGCGTGTGTATTACATAATACGTTACGTGTTCATAAGATTATAAACATGAGTGTGCCATGTTAACTGCGATTGCAGACATAGGTCAATTATACATTTATCTGTTATATATTTGCGAAACCAACTAAATCAAGATTGAAATGGCGAACATTGGTGTAGCAGGCATTAATCAGTCAATAAGTTTTAAATTTATGAGAAAAAGGAAGAAGCTTTAACTTGTAACTTAATGAAGATATTGTAAGGTTGCAGTTGGCACTGAAATCTAAACAAAACGAACGTAAATAGACATAACTACAATACCTAATGGTATTTTTAAAAATCTTTCCTTGTCGAACGTTGAAATAGTTTACATTTTATAAGTCACGGATAGTGCCGGCTGTAAAGTAGTGAACGTACCCCAAGTTTACTTTTATCTTCGTAACTTCAGTTAGAAAGTAAGCCGATTGTAAGTAGGTACACCTTTTTGCCGTAATCCTTTTACGCTTCGCGGATGTTTGGATGGAGTTATTTCTGGACGAATATGAATGAATATCTCGATGCACATTGCTCTCTATCAAGTACTTATTTAAACGTTGGTATTTACAGTCCAAAGAAACTGTTATTTAGTATCAAAGACAAACGTAGGTATGTCGAAAGAACAGCAAAAGTTTATTTGTGTTCGGCTAATTTATGAATATTGCGCTGTCAGAGAACACAAAGATCAGGAAAATAGTTTATCCTGTCTGTTTTATGACGCAAATTAAAAATAGGCTCATTTGCATCATAGTCGGTTACTATAGGTTTAGGTGTACGGACTTTTAGTGGTCCGCGACGTTTAAGTTTTTCGCTCGTTCTGGTGTTTGAATGGTGACTAATGTAGAATTACATCACAAATGTTTCGGATTAGTTCCTAATTGTGGAAAACATGGTTCATGCACGTGACAAGGGTGTTTATCAACAAAAACTAACTCGAAGATTATCCTGTGACTGGAATAATGTCCTTAGCCTATTATTACCTTAAGAAATATCGATCTCAAAGCTCACCGTACAAATGTGAGAACCCTACAAGTGCGTTATAAATTCAGTAGAGAATTGTTTTACTTATTTCAAGTAAATGCATCAGAAGCTGGTTTAGCGTACTATCGTGATTTATTAGTGATTGTAACTGGCGTGTGGTATGTTAGGGGTGAACAAAAAATTCAAGATCGTGTGAATTAATTAAAGTGCCTATGAGATCTCTAAATGGGCAAATTAAGTAGTAGTCGGACACACAGAATCCGAGTCTGTAGACCTAAACCTGTGTGGGGGCCTCTGCCGCGTAGGATTTCGGATTTTCGAGTTTCAGCCAGAACACGGGTAATCCCATCATCCAATGTTACCGTAGGAATGGAAATATTGAGAGGAGTTTACTCGTTTACTCAGGTTTGTTTATTATTTTGTTATCTGGGAACGACTATTGCGGAAGCATATTTTACAACTTTTAGTAGTTGAGGTATGTACTTATAGAATGGCAGGGTATTGAAAAAGTGGCGAATCAACACCATACTGTACTATTCAGTAACACGGCTTCAACACGAACAAATGGTGAAAAAGTCAAAAGTCTGTGTTTATTTGAGGGTAACTGAATTATTAATTGTAAAGAAATAGAGTAGACATCATAGATTTTTTCTAAAATAAAGCGCCTTCAAACACATATAATTGGCCAGGAAAACATGTTTAAATAAATTAAATTAAGATTTACTTTAATAAATGGCATAGATAGGTAACAACAAATACTGGTAATGCTACGTACCCATTGCTACGCAAGGTACTTTACTATACCAAGTACAACATTATCATGTATCTTTATTTCTCTCTTGACTTGCAACATCTATCCAACTGAACGGACGTTGTGCAAGCTAGTTTTCCTTTTGTGGACATGCATTCGGTAGATGTCGCGATTTATAAAACTCCATAAAGAGAAATCTATCGGAGTAACATTATCACTTCTTGCTTGTCCTAAAATAGCACAATTTCTACGAATGTACCTACTTGTTCAGATAAATGGTGTGTAACCAACTCTTCACAGCGATCAAATTCTGGGCCGGCGCCGGCGGTTTCATCCAACTGTATTTAAGAATTGTTCGGTACAGCTGTAGTTGAATAACGTCAAGAAGAACCACAAAGGTGAAACTGGACGAAACATGTTTATTCTCAATACTCCATCCCGTAGGAATAATATACCAAATAAGGGAACCATACTCTAATTTGGATCGCACATAAGCCACGTATAGAGATTTGATAGTAAAATGTTTCTGATAATAAAGCCAAGCATGTTTAAACTTTTAAATGTATCTTCATATTATTTCAAACGTAATTTTAAAGATACGAATAACATTGCTAAATTCATTGAGCTTATCTCTAATGAAACATGGCATAAATTCCGTTCATTTTCAAATACTAATGATTGGTTCAATTATTTCTTTAGTGTGTTTAAATAGTATATTAAGATACAAGTGTATAATCAAGTCTTTAAAGCACGCGCAACGAGTTTAAGGGCACGACGCAAAGCGGAGTGCCTTTAACGTTGCAAGTGCTTTAAAGACCAATTATACACGTGTATCTTATAGTATTTTTTATTATACCTGCAGTATAATTTAAAAATAGGAAATACAATGAAATCATATTGACGTTATACTCGAATACATGTTTAATTAAGTGGGCTGGGTGTTCGAAATTCCACGATTGCCATGGAAATGTCACTTGACGTTTGTTTATAAAAATCATCGTCTTTGTAAATAAAACGATTTCCGTTGAAAAAGATAATACACCGTCCATTAAATCGCTTGTTATAAAATCTAAACAAACGTTGGTAGGTGCAAAACCCAATCCCGGAAAGCCTATTATAAAGAATTTGAAAAATTGTTTCCATGGATGAAAAGGAAGTTACTTACGAATAAAGTCTTAAATGCATCGATAATGCTGGGATATATGAAGGAAATGTCAAAGGTATTTAAATCTCCTATCTTTTGGTGCATGCATTAACTCAAAACTTCAAACAATGCTGCGATTAAAAGTGGAACAGATTTGGAAGCACACCCTAAATTACGCGCGTTTGTGAAACCTTCAACCAAAGGATAGGTACAAGCCAAAGAAATGTTATGCATTTACAGAAAGCGACCTAAGAGGATCTTTTATTTCAGCCCCAGATGACAGTTTCAAAAGTCATACTTGAAGTATCGTTACTTAGCAACTTTAAAGCACGTGTGTTTTAAAGGCCTTTTTTCGCACGCATTTGAGTGTTTAAAACGGAGATTGTGATTCAGGTATAATAAAAAATATTATACACACCGCATTTCCTTTGCAACATTTATACCGAAACAATGTCAAAGGTAACATGGATTAATAACTCTATTATCGAACAAGGAGTTGTCCTAAGACAAATGCATAAACTGTACAGAGAAGGACACAACATTCTACTGTATAAAAATCTTTTAAAACAACATAAACAATCTATTAATGATGCAAAGAAGGCATGCAATGACCGTTTATATAATAGTGCTTCACACAAATCAAAGGCAGTCTGGTATATACTTAAGAGTGAAATCAACATTCAGCCCAAAAGTGATACCTACCCAAATACATTTTACAACGTGTCAACTAATGTTGGACAGCAAGGGGAAATGGCGTGTGAATTATTCAATAACTACTTTGTTAAATCCCTTGATCAAATAGTAGATCATTCATCTTTGTCTTCTGATCTAAGTAAGATTCCAAATTGTGCTAAATCCCTGTTTCTGACGCCTGTTGATCAAACTGAAATTGTGGAAGTAATCAAGAAAATTGCTATTAAAGAATCGGCTGGCTATGATGGAATCCCGTGTTCAATTTTAAAACATGTGCCAAATGTCATTGCACCCCTATTGGTTGAAATGATCAACGAATCTTTTACTACTGGTGAATTCCCGGAAGCATTAAAGAAGACAATCGTGGTTCCTGTCCACAAAAAGAATGACAAAACTTTGATATCCAATTATAGGGCTATATCAATCTTGTCAGTATTCTCGAAGATTTTTGAAAACGTTTTTCAACATAGGTTGTTACTCTTTTTAACACATAATAACATTTTAGCGGATTGCCAGTTTGGATTCAGAAAAAATTTATGTACGTCGGATGCCATTATTTCGTTGCTTGATGAAGTATTTCAAAAATTAGAAGAAAGAAAAAAAACCCTGGGAATATTTTTTGATCTGTCTCGCGCATTTGAAACCGTTAATCATGAACTTTTATTACAAAAACTGGATAGATTTGGAATCAGAGGAACTCCTGCCAAGTGGCTTAGGTCATATCTGTTTAAACGTAGCCAACAAGTCGTGTTGAGACACAGAGGTGAAGAAGCCTATTCCAGCTTTTTGCAAGTACCTAAAGGAGTTCCCCAGGGTAGTACTCTTGGGCCTCTTTTGTTTTTGTTATTCATCAACGACGTAATTAATCACTGCAATCGTGTAAAACTAACATTATATGCGGACGACACATCAGCCATCGTACAAGAGGAAAACATACCCTCCTTAAGCATCACGGGCACTCAGTCAGTAGAGCTAATGAATGCATATTGTCGTAACAATGGCCTTTCATTGAATATCTGCAAAACAGACATGCTCTTTTTTCACATCGGGAGCAGAATTTTAATATTCTAATTCGATCACATACAAAATCCATACAACAAAATAGCGTTGTAAAATTCTTAGGTTTACATCTAGACAGCAATCTAAATTGGCATACACATGTTCAGTCGCTTATAAAAAAATTAACGACTTCTAATTTTGCCCTGTTTAGAATTAGAAAATTAGTCAATAATGAAACTATGCGCTCATACTATTTTGGAAGTGTGCATTCGATATTGAGTTATGGTATTGTATGCTGGGGTAATACCAATTGGATGTCCAAAATTTTAGTTTGCCAGAAGCGAATAGGTACTACGTACAATGACTTTTGCGCCCCATACGAAACATTGTAAGGATTTGTTCCGGCAATTGAAAATTCTAACAGTGACATCAATATACATAATGAATTGTGCACTATATGTACACAAAAAAGTATTAAGCGATAAGATCAAACTAAGGGGAAAATTGAATGAGTATCCAATAAGAGCTGCCCATAAAGTTTATATTCCTCCTCACAAACTAACTTACACAGCCGATAGCTGCTATGTAATGCCTTTAAAAATTTACAATCATCTCCCCTATCATATTACTAATGCTTCATCTACTAGACATTTAAAGACTGTGCTTAAAGAAGTATTATTGATCAAATGTTATTATTCCCTCAATGAATATTTCAGTTCTGTGATATAAGTTTGTGATCTGTGTACAAGTACTGTTATATATACACTTATATGTTAAATAGCAATTTTCTGTATTGTATGTTTCATAATAGATGTTAGACGCATTCCATACTGTAACAAGTCGACGGAATAAAGAGTATTATTATTATTATTATTATTAAAGCAGAGTAAGAGCCAGCGTTCCGAAAACGAAAGTTTATGTTCGAATCCGTGACTAACTAATTTACAACGCTAAATGGAATGTCATTTATTTTGAAAGGAGTGGAAGAGAGGCTCAGTTTTTTTCTTGAAAACGAAGCTTTGCACTTCGACATGTGTAGGTGTAGATTATTTTTTGAACATCATTCACCAAGTTCATTTATTTGAGTTTTGAGCATGGGGGTAGATGCAATGAACAATACAATATATGGATGTAAAGATGTTTAAATCGTCAGTGACAAGTAAGTAAAGAAGGCAAAACAGTAGGGAACTCGAATTAGATCCTTGCGGAACTCCTGGCGTAACCAAAGCGGAGTCGGGTATGTAATTATTGTATTAAACACTTTGTATCCACTTGACACTGATTATGCAGTACAGATTTGAAATAGTCGAATGATGTTCCATGAAGCCGTGCCGATCAGGAGAGATATAATTTCGAATTTGGAGATATAAATTCGCAAATAAAATATCTTTTCAAGTAATAGCAGTCATTATCCTGATCAAACAATAAACATCTCGACATAGTCAGTCCACGTCTTGGAACAGCTGAATTTTCTTCAACACTTGCGATTAGCCGTTTGCAAGTTGAGTAAAGCAAGTAATCGGCATAGTCTTGTAGGGATCTGTGCATTTTGATGCATCTATACCCAAGTACATAACCCTGTGCTCTCCAGATAAATACTTTTATTTAATTGTTAACGAATTTGGGGATGAGAGTTAAGAAATTAATGTTTGTAAACTAGCAAATGATAATAGCCAGTCAAGGCATCTTGATAATGTGACAAGATTAAATTTATTTTTTCTTCATGTTAAGTGAGCGCCTTTGAACGGTACGGTATGGTGTTGATTTGCCATTTTTTTGGCACCCTGTATCACGCTATCATTAAAACATGAGAGTTTCAAAAACTTCTTGATCAGGGAATTAAAGTGTTCAGAATTTTACGATTTTTTTTCTGTGCATGTTTTACGTAAGAACAAAACTGTTTGAAATTTTCAATATGAATATTGTGAATTGCTACCCCGAATAAGGCCAGAAACTCATAAATGCGAAAGAGCAAATTAGATTTTAGTCCAGGAAATAGAGACTGAAAATGGACCATTTCCTGCAACACGAGAAGTAGTTCCAATTTTTTTGCATGTCATGAAAGAATATCTGGTGGTTAAGAATCCAAGTTTTCGACCTCCCCCCCCTTGTGCTTCCCCCGTACCACCACCAAAACCCCTGAAATTTGGTTGGTTTTTTAGTTTTTCAATCATCTCTTTTTATAGGTTCATTTTACAAAAAAATATTGTTATCAGAAATTGTAGACTATGAAATTCTACACCACTTTGATATACACTAATTTTTTGTGAAATGTTTATTAAAAACGATATATAGCTTCAGAGTTGCTTATATTTTTAAGAATTCTAAAGTTTGTATGTAGATGTTTTAACCAAATTTTATACTTTATCTCCATAATTAAGTTTTATGAGAAAATATTTTGAATTTATCGTGGTATAAATCCCCCTACGCTGCACCCTTATCAAAATGACATGCAAAAGAAATTAGACCTACTTCTCATTTTGCAAGTTAAATGGACTATTTGTAGGTAATTTAAAATGAAAAATGCTAATATTAGAAAAAATGAATCAGCCTGCTGCAATTAAAACAAAGCTAACGGTAAATACGGAAGGGGTTAATTCTTTGGCTTTCCTATTATATGACTAAAAATCCATATAAATACGAGTATAAACATAGCTTCGCAAACGCTTTGTTATCGGTCTTCAGAGTGTTATACATAGTTCAAGATACAATTTTCAAAGCCAACTGTCAAAAGTAATAAAAGCAAGATATTAAAAATTATACTTTCATTTAAGTAGCTGATTACCGAAAATGGATTGATTGATTCCAAGACGGAAATAACGAGACCAAAACGTCATTCATCCATGAACTTACATTTAAGAAGAGGAATGTCAGCGAGATAGGGAAACATTTATATCTTTATTGAGTTCATGACTTTGGCAACAAAATATGTATAATTCTTATGACAATTGAAGGTATGGAGGTCCCGCTTATACACTGTGTTCGATATAAGGATGTGTTTCATGGGTATCTCGATATACACAGACAAACATTTGAGGGAGGCGAGGCGGCGTAGCCGAGTGGATGTCTTATCAAAATCAAAAAATGTTATCAAAATTAAAAAATCTTATCAACATTTCTAAAGTACTATATCTTACTAATAAAAATAATACGTTGTCTGCGCTTCAATCTTATAATAGATGTAATAGCAAATCAAAACCATTTAATTTATACATAACTCGTACATTAAATTCATATCACGTTTTATGCAGTAGGTACATAATTATAAGGTAAATGATAAAGAATTGGTGTAAAGTTAAAACAGAGTCGTCGTATGCAATCCATACCATGGAACAATTGACTAAAAAAAGTGACTATGGATATATTGGTGCTTTTTTGAGCCGAATCAAATTTCATTTGGCCTTTTACAATATCTCAATTTCATTAAAAAAAGGACCTAACGTTATATTCTCAACTCATTCAAAAAATTACACAACGATAAAATAAATAAAAAAAAACCTACGTATGCTAATAAAAATACTGTGATAGGTCCTTTTAGTTAATAAATATAAAGAGATTTAACGCTATACAAATATTCGTGCACTCCTTTTTACGTTATGATGACAACAACCAAAAGAGGACAGTATCAATCAAGTAGAAAAATTACAGATTCTGTAGTGATTTTTAATGTTATATTCAATAGAGTATTGCCGATTCTCAAACAGTAATTTTCTTGTTAAAAGGTTAAATACGGAAGACCGCCATTAGTAACAGTTAGTAGTAGTAGGTATTTGTATCTTGTTTGATCCCTTCTATTATATTTACGAACACGCATGAAGCTTACGAAGGTATAATTAAGGAACCGCCAGTAGGTGGCACGACGGTCGTTTTCCTTTTCCCCACGTTGGGTAAAGCCCAGGATTTATAGAATGAATTGAAAGCCCTCGAGGACTATAAGTGAGCCTTTTGAAACATGTATAGATTCTAATTATTTAGTCATTTATGAACGTATAATTTGAATTCGATAACAATTATTTTGTTCACAATATATTGTCCGTTTACATAATTTGTGAAAATAAAAACCATTGTTCTTATTTGAAACACACCACTTAGACTTATGTACTAATGATAGTGTATAACCTTATAAAATTAAAAACTCGGAGCGGAGTGGAGGGTGGGTGGGAGATTTGAACAGGAAAAAACTTCAAATGCATTTTTTTCAGATAAGTCACGTCACTATAGATTCACTGATTTTTCGACTGCACAGCAATGCTACTGTGATATTGTTAGTAACCTTTTCCATCGCCATTACCACGAGGCAGTATGTAGGAAATCCCATAGATTGTATTCATACGAGGTAAGTGTAACGTGTCATTTATTATTGAAATATGTATTTATTTCCACTCATGTATTAAGTATTAAACAGATTTAGTCATGAAATTATTGTAAATATGTTACATGATGACTAAGATTTGTTGTGTACCTACTTTTAGTATTTACTATAGGCATCTTTCGCTTTTCGACTCATGGTTTGCCCAATTATGTTCTCATGCGATGCGGCAAACAAAATCAGTTCTTGCCAAACACCCGTTGCACCCACTTAATTCTTTATCCTGTTGTTTTCAGAGACATTCCAGAAGACGTGTTGAATACATATTGTTGGATTCATTCGACCTACACTGTGGTACAAGATTTTAAAAGAACCATTTATGCTGCTGCTTATCCTGGCGTAACAACTTTGATCTCGAGAAATCATTCAAATCCCCAAATGAAACAGGTGAAATACTACCAGTGGGTAGCTTTCATGTTGTTCTTTCAGGTAAGTGTTATTGTTATTAAACAGAATGTTAACCCCATAAATGCAACTGAGTTGACATATCATGTATTTCGTGCCCAAAGCAACAGGAAACAAAACGGTTTGCCGTATTATTATTGGTACCTATTGTTGCACGTTGTGGGCCATAATTTATATGGTGTAATAATAGATATGCAATAATATTGATTTTATAGTGGAAAACGTGGTTATTATGTACGAAATGAAGTACATGCTGTTAGGTAATTTTAGATTTGCTGGAAATTTACAACATTGTTTCAATATTGTATTGGAAATCGTATGAGGTAATTCTTTAGTATATGTACTTCGTACGATCCGATTACTGACATTTCCTGAACAACTGAAATACTCCCCGAGGACGTCTTTCTTTTTATGTTTTTCCAGATCTAAGCGTTATCAAGTGTCTTCACTAGACTGTCGTGACGTTTGTTTCTGTTTCAGCATTTATCTGGGTCCGTTAACTTGGCCCCCCCACTGAAAGATTTGATAGCCGTATTATTTTAAAATGAATGAAACAATGAAACAATAGCGACCTTTCTGATATCCTTAAGAACATGTGTACCAATTTTCAAAGCGACCGGACGTTTCTAAACAAAATTATCGTGCACAGGCAGACGGGCAGACATACAGCAGTACAAAATTATAAACGATCTCGAGGATCGTTAATACATGAACTACATTGCGGCATAATGCATTAACTCCAAACCATTGAATAAAAACACTATTCAATGTTTTTATTCAATGCTCCAAACTAAGTAAGTTAATACCTATGAGTTATTGGCGATTATTGCAAACCGAGTTAAAATTGCACCATTAGAACACAACTGCAACGCATACCCAAATAAAACTGCATTCATTATAAGAAGGTACAAAATTTGGAAAATATAATATTATAAATCAAACGATATCACGCTTGGATCTTTGAAATTGACAGCTAATGACAGTTCGACAGTTTAGTTCGTAATTGAAACTTCTAACAGACAGAATTCGTCACTCGTTTTATTTTTCAGGGTAATAGTGACTCGTTTTAACCAATCACAGTGAAGGTTAAACTGACCATATGCTTTCTACCGCTACCTTCTTAAAATGAATAGCGTTTTGAAAACGCTAGACCCTCCACTTTTGAAAATTTTTTTATGGCTTAACCGCAATGGCGCTAGGTTTAACTCAAGTGGCGAAATTGAGCGCATAACCAGGTGTATCAAGTGGGACAACACAAATACCGGTAGCAAAATGCGTTATGGTGGGTTCCGTTCACTTGGCCCCTCCCAAATATATTTAAGGATAACCAAAAAACAAGAATGGCGCAAAGATATCTTTTTATGGCGCATTTCAGCGCATACCAGAGAGTACCATTTCGTATGAAAAGATGTTAAAAAAAAGTAACTTTTAAAAACGTTAAGTTGCCCCCCCACTTTTTGAAAATTTGTCACGGCTTAACCGTAATGGCGCTAGCTTTAATTCAAGTGGCGCAATTGAGCGCATAACCAAATGTATCAGGTGACCTAGTTACAAGCGACAAAATACGTACTGGGGGGGCTACGTTCACTTGGCCCCCCCAAATGTTTTTTCGGATTTCTAAAAAACGATAATGACGCAAGAGTTATTATCGGTGGCGCATATGAGCGCATAACGAGCGCATTCATTTTAAAATAATACGACTATCAAATCTCTCAGTGCCCCCCACTGTCCGTTAACTTGGCCCCCCGCCAAGTTAACGGACCCCATTTATCTTTATTTCACTTTCACGTTTTCTTTGAAATATAGAATAGGTACCTACTTGATGTGTTGCCGTTATTGGCTTATGTGCTTTACACTACGTAGGATAAAGAACCCATCTAAATAAACGCTAACAAGACAACGGATACTTCACCAAAATGTAGGTACTGATACGTAGAATAATTAGTTATAACATGAATTGTGTTAGAATCCACCGTGTCTTACAGAAGTTCTGGTCCTATTGTTATCGTTGGTTAACTAAGTTAGCGACTTTTATTTTATATGCTGTAACTGTAAGTCAGTAATAGCTATTTATATATCAAGTACGTAAACATGTACCAAGTATAAACATGGCGAGTCCACATAAAGCCTATAATTATGTTAGCTATTTATGTTACAAGTACATAATCTATGACTTTAGTGGACGAGTCGAATTTATTGGCAGAGCGCGCTTGCGCGCGAGGCCAATAAAAAAGACGAGATAATAAAGTCTGATTATGTACGAGTAACATACTTAGCTTTATGTTCGACTCGGAAAATGTAGTTCATGTATGTATTGAAAATTTGCTGAAACTTGGTATAGATTTCACTATTTAATAACCAGAAATAACATAGTGTGCCTTTTGTGTTGTCATAGATACGTGTTGTTTGGAAAAAAATCTGTTGATGTGTACCTAGTGTCAATTTCGTTGGGTATTAACTAATTCTCTGTACCTAATTATGAATCCCAAGATGAGTCCAGAAGAAATTGATGGGTCCAACAGTATACAACAATTAGCCTGCAATGCCAGAGAAATGCTTTTACCAAGCAAATCAAAAACTGTATACGAGGCGGCATACAGGGAATACAGAAGGTGGTACTAGGGGAAGAAAATCAATTGCACCACGGAAGACTGTATATTGGCGTACTTTAGTGAGTTGGTCTCCTATAAAAGTTCTTCTTTATGGAGTAAGTACTCGATGTTACGATCGACAATTAATTTAAATGAGGGAGTGGATATAAGCAAATTTCCCAGCCTAATTCCTTACCTCAAAAGAAAAGGAGATTCTGACAGAGATCTGACAATTCTAAAATTAGTGTTGCCAGCAAAATTTTGGGAACGGGAATCGTTATGGCAAATTCTTCGTTCAGAAATTTAAAAGCCGTAGAGACCACCGAAATATTGCATCAAAAAGGTACATCGGGAATTAACATTACCAACAACTGTGTTGTTAACATTAATTGAGTACCTATCTATAATTATTGAAATGTATAATATAGATATGTGTTCTTTAAATTATAGCATTCTGTTCCGTGTATTTCTTCTTTAAAACAGATCGTAATTTTAAAATGCATTTTCCAAAGAAATTGACAAGTGACAGGAGTCCAAATTACTTTATCATTATGGACTAGTCCAATAAAGTAGCAGATTATGGACGCTAAACAGTGTCATAACTCAGCGTATTATGATCGAGTCGAACATAAAGCCTATTTATGTACGTGACATATACAAAGCTTTATGTACGACTGCAACAACCCTTAAAGAAGAACAAGGCTGTGAAACGGTCAAAAACGGTTTTTTAATATATGAGTTTTTAGCGCCGTGACGTCGTACAACTCTTTCTTCAAATAGTAAACCACATTTTTTAAGAATGAGCGAAGTTTTTGAGTGGTTACTGGTTACCCATTAAAATACGAGTATTAACCGGGAGCATTAGTAGTAAACATAAACAAACGTAAAACAAGCAGATGACATTGCAAGAATGTGGGGCCCGGGCCGAGATATTTACGAGAGAATGTATTATTAAAAAAAATACTGCGACTAGCACAAATACCAACCGCACACCTGCGCACGCTCGTTCTGCCCAAAGGCTCTTCAGCTCTTACATTTTGCCTAAGCATATCCAATCGGTTCAGCCGTTTAGCCGGAAATGAGAGTCCAGACAGACCGATCGACATCATCGAGTCATTTCTCTTGTGAGTTGCGGTAAACTTTACGATTACCAGTTTCGTAATCTTATGTTTTATATTGCTGTGATATTTTGTCTGGCAGGACGAAATTTTGGGATTCTTAATTAGAATGGACAAGGGCGGTTTCGATGTAATTAATTTTCTTAATTTAAATTTTTGTTTTGTGTCGTTCGTTAAGTACTTCAACAGAAATTACTGTTACGAAAAAGAGGTCAAGGTTTGTATTGTTTACATTTTAATCTCATCTTTGATTTTATTTAACGTAGATTTCTGAGAATTTTATAGCGCTTTTATTCTGTTATCATTGTAAACGCTTAATTTAATTGACAGGTGGATTAAAAATTAATGATAAAAATAATTTCTACCTCTGGTTTAACGTTACGTTAGTGGGGAAATTTTCTGTTGTCAACTGCTAATCATTGGCTGTTTTAATTTGTAATTTTGGAAGAAGGGTTTCCACCTTAAATAGAACGGACTGAGAAGAGGAGAGGCTTTTTGCCACTGTCAACGCAGAACTACGTTTGTTTAAAATTTCAATGGCTTTTTGCCAAGTTCAGAGCGGAACTACGTTTGTTTGAGATTGAAATCAGCATTTTGTTGAAGTTTGAAGTTTTGTTTTGGGAGTTTTGAAGTTTTTATCGTCAGTTTGTTGCCAGTCAGGGCAGTTTTTGGTTTGAGTGAAGATTGTTTTATTTCGCTTCGGCGAGTTACCGCAGTAGTTTGGATTGTGTAGAGGCCAGCCAGTTTTGGAAGTTGGTGGAGTTTCCGTTTTACGGAGTGGCAAGCCGAGTTGCGGCAGGTTTGTGTGGCGGCAGTTTTGGAAGTTTGGACCTTCAGTAAAGTGCGTCACTAAGGTGTGGTCGGCGCCGACTTGAGCGTTTTTTTTTGTGTAATTTTGAAATTTTGTTGTTTTTTTTGTGTACCGTATTTGGGATTAGCAGTTTTGGACATGTACCGAATGTAAGTAAGATTAAGTTTTAATTTTAGTTTTTTTCTTTGTAATAATTGTTTGTTTTCCTTGTTGTTTTTTTTTTATTGTGTAACCATTAAAACTGAAATTTGTAATTCTCACATTAATTTCTGTGTTTGTCTTTCGAACGATTTTATTTCCTTTAATTTACTGTTTTCTTTGAATACTTGCCCAAGGTCCATTTTATTTAATCAAAATTCGATTAGGATCGATTTGGAATTTAAGGTCTTTGGTCTAACCCACTATCTGTTAGAAGTTAATAATGTAACTGAGAAAGAGTCAAATTCCTCCTCTGTGCTGGGGAGAAGTTTTGTTCCGAGGAATATAAGGGTTTGAGCTAGCTAG